CGTCAAAGTCTATGGCGGTAGGCTATTAGACCCTACCGTCATGGACTCTGACGGTAGCAAAAGGGTTAAATCTTGAAAAAAATAAAATAAGGTCAAATCTCGAATAGGTTTATCAAAATACGAAAATTTGCCCTCCTGCGCTCGCCCGGGATGGCTTTATTTCTCCACCAAACCCAGTACTACTACTCCTATTCGCGCAGTGTGCATGCGGTGGTGAGCCACTGTCAAAAATAAAGCGAGTGGTGACGGCCAGTCGGCAGTGCGGATTAACGGTCGGATGGTGTACTTGGTGCTCTTTATTTTTGCTCCATCTTTTTATTACTAGATTCTGCACTAGTCCAGCGTGGATTGACAGTGAAGTGCTTTTGCGCTCGCTTTTGTTTCCCCGTATGATGGGTGCTCTCACATGGCCTGATGCGTCGACTGTTTTCTGGGTGTTTCTCACATGGGACGTTTACCCTCTTCCTGTGTCCTCTTGCTTCATGGTTTGCTGTGTCCTTCACATGTGGGCACTGGCCCGTCGTGTACATGGCAAAAATGGCTTGTTCCTTGTGAGTGGTAGGGACCTATGTCTAACATGTTTACAAATGCACTGCAGTTATTTGTTCAAAATAGTAATCACTATGCCTATCAACATTTAGAGTCATCCCGCAAAAAACCATCAATCAGACTCGCAACAATCAACTTGGAACGGAAGCACAAACAGGGGTAAAATAGCAAATAACGTAGCAGATGCATTTAATAGGAGAAACGTCTCCGCAATGATAAGAGCAACTCGAATAGCTCCCATAAAGAAAATTCTGTAAAAAAAACATTTTATGGGATGACAGTAAAATTTTAGGGAAGTTGTCTAACAGCTACTTTTCTCACCTGCAAACCTCTTCCCCTCAAAGGTTCTTGAGCGGAGGCGTGGCCTGGTGACAGCGGCTAGAGCGTGGAGGCGAGGCAGGGGAGGAGGCTGGGTTGTGGGGCGCAGCAGCGGGATGCGGCCTCGCGGTGACAGAGTCCAAAGCGGGAGGCAGGACATGGAGGAGGTTGAGTTGCGACGTGCGGCCTCGTTGCGGCAGAGGCTGGAGCTAGAGCTGGTGCAAGGGAGGAGGCGCGGCGCTGACCCCGTATGGCGGGGCGAGGAGCTCCTCTCCTGAAGTTTTAGCCCGCCAAAATTAATACTCCCTCCATTCCCTTATACAAGGCCACTATGAAAAAATATAATTTGCATCTGTACAAAGCAACTAATTGTAATCGAGGCAAAAATTAATAATGTTTTCTCGTATTACCAATTGTTTTAATACATTGTACGTAAGAGTAAGTGCAACCGGATATTAACATAACACATTATAATACACAACATATAAATTTGAACTCACATATGAATGATATTTAAGATGTGGGTTTTACTCTCACCGGCCATCCATTGGAAATCAAATTAATACTACAAAAAAACAGATGAATGCATGGTATACACCACGCAAAACTCATGTGGATAGCGAAGTACTCCATCTACAAAGAGAATTGAACTTTAGGACCATGCTACCTTACCTTGAACCAAAACAATATAGTAAAAAATGTTTATTCTTTTGCAAGAAAAAAACTTGAGATGATTAAAATATGGAAGAGCCTGGAATAAATAAGAAGTGTATATGTTATTCGCATATTATGGCATGTGAATGATAACATAAGAATGAATGTCAATTCTTTTAATAGATTTTTTTTGGAGAATTAAAGTACTCCCTCCATCCCAAAATAAGTGTCCCAACTTTACTACAAAGTTGTAATCAAGTTAAGGCACTTATTTTGGGACGAGGGAGTATGGAATAGTCTAGACGACGGGAGAAGTATCTCTGTTTTGAGGTTTGTGCATACTGTGATTGTGTATAAGCTCAAGTATGGAACCTTCTAAATTAGTACACATGGCACAATCCAGTGTAGTGGAGATAATATCCGACAGTCAACACTACTCGGAATTGGCACCTCTCAACCATTGGATCAGCTTCACCCAACAACCGACATTCAAAGATATTCATACACTATACAGTGGTATACATAAAAGGAAGGCTATGTTCATGTAGATGTGAGGGGAGATGGGCGGAATTATACGGGAATCCATGAAAAAATCGGGTTTACGAGAGTTGTTTGAGGGCTTTTTTGCATATCTTCCCGTAAATAGTAGTTTTTTTTACAGAATAGGGGGTCTATTGAAGTTGCTCTAGCTAGACTCACTATTGATCACCCATATATACATTGCATATGAATAAGATTACAAATCTAGTTATTGAGTACTTTCCGAGTGCTAAAAAGAACTAGATTTATAGAGCATGTGATGTAAAGATGGATATGCATATAAACATACAGACATTAGGAGAATTGAAGTTGTTTTGATATTCTACAAATCTTTGGTGTTCCTATGAAAAATGATTCTTCAGTTCAGTTGTAGCTTATGAATATATAGAGTGTTGTTGCATACATAGGCGCCTCGCCACCCTGAATGTCTCTCTCTTTAGATCAACAAAATAAAAATGTATATGTGTAACGTAGGCTTTGAAAGCATACAAACAATTAGTTCGAAGGATAGTAGGCATATGAAGATGTACCCTAAGGTGAAAGCTTTGCGCTTCTGACGTTTCGCTTCAAGAAAAAAATGTGACATGAGGTTTGAGCTCGTGTTGACTGTGCTTTGATATGCAGGGGAATAATTGATAAGATATATGCATATCTTTTCCTTCCATCATTGTTTTCCCTGTATCTTTCTGCTTTGGTGTTCTCATACATGTTTATTTCATGAATTGTCCTTGACGAATTGATTTTTTTCAATATATAGTGAGAACACATGTCATTAATAATCTAGATAATGACACTGTTAATTGGATTTTTTTTCTGACAAAACCACCGTGTCTTGTCAAATAATAATCCATGTCCGAGATTTGCAACAGGGAAAATAGCTAAATATGATTATTTATATTACAATATCATGCCACGCAATATTGAATCGAACATTATGTCTCACTCAAGAGACACAATTTATGATGAGATCCACCCACAGTTCACTATAGCCAAACTTTAGCATCATTGCTCTCAAAATTTCATTTCACTCTATCATAATCCTTATGCATATCCAACTTAACAACATATTACTCATCTTTACATGTTCTTTTTATTCTATATACTATGCATGCATTCACATGCCATCAAAACATTATTGGTTATGAGTCAGTCTGCCACAAATGCACTTTGAGTTGGAACAATTATTTCTTGCAAATCGAATTTAAACGACTAGATAAATACATTTTTTTAAACAACATTACAAATCCACGCGCCCCTCCTGTGGGCTGGCCCAGCAAGCGAAGCTCGTCCAGCTCAGAGCTCACTCACACATCACTCGGGAGAAACTGGTCAACATGGTTGGCCTGTTAACCAGCTGCCATTAACTTTTTGGAAATCTTAAAATTGAAATTTATTTTGCCAATTTTTTACAATATTTAATAGAAAGTTCATGAATTTCAAAAAGTTAAAAAGACCACAAATTTGAAAAAGCTTCTTAAATTAGATTTTTTTGTGAATTTGAAAAATTCCCAAATTTAAGAATTATTCACAGATTTTAAAAAGCTCATGAATTTCAAAAGGTTCATGTTAAAAAAATGGAAAAAGTTCACAAATTGAAGAGAACTTCACGAAATTAGAGAAGAAGTTCACGAATTCAAAAAAGTTTGTGCAATTAAAAAGAAGAAGAATGAAAAATCCAACAAAACCGGACGTAAAACTAATCCAAAAACCATTAACCAAAAAAAGAAAATGGGACCTTCTAGAAGCTTCTCAAAACCGGGACGAGCATCTAGTGAGACTGCCTTAGATGGGCCGGTCCATTGCTATGCAGGGTGCGCACCATGTAGGCTTAACGCTATAAGCAGCGCCTTTTGTGCTGAATAGGATCAGGAGGTTGCTTTTTTAGTTTTTTTAGTGGAAATTGGGGGTTAGAACCACCAATTGAGGACCGCTCGTTCGGGAGCCTCCCCAAAAGTCAGTTGGGATATGTTGACGTGCTCTCAACCGCTGCCACAGGTCGCGCTCTAGGCGCTCCCTCCGAATTTTATTTTTATTTTTATTTTCGCACGTGTTTTCAGCTTTTTATATGATATTTTCCCCGGTTTTATTGGTCTTTCGTTTTTCACATGTCTTTCTTAGCTTTTGAAAAAATATGCGAAAAATGTGTTTCTTTTTCGTTCGCGAGGGCACGGTTTTGCTTCATCGAAAGGCACGGTCGTGCCTGTTGAAAACAAAAAAAAAACGCGTCTTTTTTTTCCTTCCGTGAGAGGTACTGTCGTGCCTCACGAAAATGAAGAAAAAACGCATTCCTTTTTTCCTTCGCTAGAGGCACGGTTTTGCTTCCGTGAGAGACATGGTCGTGCCTCTCGGAAACAACTCTCGGAAAAGGAAAAAAAATGTGCTCCTGGTATGGTTTTTCATCCTTTTTTCGTGAGAGAAAAGTTTGTCAAAACCTATTAACATGGGATTTAATTTTGAAGATCTCAATGTGAGGAATCCAACATGAAAATGATTTGAGATTTGGATGCACAATTTAATAGATAAAACATTTTAAATAAACGGATCTTCAATAAAGGGGAAAACTCCCGTGTTGCGACAAGTGACGCACATGCAACACGCCGCTTGTCGTAACCTGGGGAGGTGGAAGTGATCTTTTGGAGAAGTATTCCTCAATTAGTGATTTCAGGGATTTGCTGAGTAACATCGTGTGACTCGTGTTAAAGAAAAAACATCGTGTGACTCAACCTGGGCTTCCCCTCGTACCCACACGGACGGCCTACTAAGTTGAACGACCATGTAAAAAAAACCCTGAGTTGAACAACCACGGGCCGTTAGTAGGCCACCATCCCCCGTGTCCCCATGCCTTTCCTCTAAGCCTCACCCGACCCACCACAGTCTCTTCGTCTCGGTCACCGGGCTCCCCAACCAATTTCGTGGTGGCGCACGCGAAGGGTTCGGGTATGGAGGCGGCCGCCGACGAGGAGCAGGAGGGGCTGTCCGCGCAGTCGCCGGCACAGGCGCCGCCTTCAACAGCGTCCTCCCTTCCAAAGGTCCCTCGCCGTTCCTCCCGACTCCCCCCGCCCCCTCCCCCACCTCACCCCCTCCTCTGTTTTCGCCTCTGAAGATCGCGCGTGGTCTCGTGGCCTGATGCGTTTCCCTCGTATCGCAGGAGCAGTCGCAGGTGGAGCTGGAGCTGAGGCTGCTCCAGGCTCTCGAGTTCTACCCTCCCTCCAAACTCAAAGGTGTGATGCTTCGCCGTTGTGGATACCCGTAACGCATCTGTCTGTCTTAGTGGCCGTGACTTCATTTGTGTATGTGCCACACGAGTGGTTAGTCTTTCAATCATGGCTGACCTAATTGCTAATTCTGTGGATAGCCAACCTATGGGACACTGAAAGAGAAACACAACGACTGAGCCTCCATAGTAGTGTAGTAATAGTACTATCGTGTCCTTTCTCGGTTTCTCCCATGATGAAACAAGTTCACTGCTGCTGTTGAGGATCTCCAACTTTTTTCCTATGATGCTATGAATTTTATGGTCAGGGTTTCAGCTAAAGTAGGTTGACTGGAGTCCATTCTTTGTACCTAGTTAGTATATGAGGAAAATGGGCCTCTGAGGAAATAAGTACAGAATTTCAGGCGAGCTGTGTACCCCTGCAGGGCCTCCTGTATCATTACTGTTGTGAAAAATGGGGAAACAACTACATACTTGTGCTGTCATTTTAAGCAAAAGGAAAAGGCATTTAACCGAGTATACTCTGAGTGTGTCATAAAGCCTTGCTTGGTCAGGCTTAAGAGCCAACCATATCCTGCAATTTAGATACTTGATAGTTCCAGAGTAGGACACATTTCAAAAAATACTAGTGTAAAAAAGGCTCTTATATTATGGGCCGGAGGGAGTATTTTAGGATTAGGAGCACTCTTTTACTATTAGGTTTTTGTCGTGATGACCGGTGTTTTG